CTCTCTGTATGTAATCACCTGGGTAGCACTTCTGTCACAGTAAGCTGCCAGTGAGGGGTTTGGAAGCTCGTTCTATCTCAAATTCTACAGGCCCTTTTGTTAGAATAGCAGATTTTAGTAGATATATTTGAATAAACTCTTCTCCATTTGCTGTATATCCCTAGCATAATTTCCAGGGACTGCTTTTCTTTCTTTTTTCTTTTTTCTTTTTAAAATGATTTTTCCCAGTTCATGGGTGTTCTGATGAGGGAGGGTCCATTGGCTTTATACCACCACTTCAGAATTCTCTTTTCTACTTCTTGGTTTTTAAATTTTTAAATATTGAGTTTCTTCTAAGATGTAAGTTTTTAAATAAGTTATCTTCCACATTTCTTACCTCTCAAATCATATTTTTAGTTTTTCCTTGAACTAGACCATATAATCATTTGTGAGCCAATCACTGGCAGAGGGGATAGATTACCAAGGAACTGAGGATGGAACCAGAAGCCAGCTGGTTATGTTAGGAAGGAAGGAGATGATTATGGACATTAATTAGCAATCAATGTAGTCTATTGTAAATTTGATTTTTTTCTATTTTCAACAATATATCTTGACTTCCATTGTTACAAGGATATTATTGCCTTTACTGTTTACTCTATATAGTCTCTCTTATTTCAAGATGTTAACTTTTTCAAAAAGATTTCTTTATTTTAAAATCACAGTTATATAGAAACAGATGGGAGAGAGAGAGAGAGGCCTTCCATCTGCTGGGTCACTCCCCATATGGCTGATTTTAGAGCTGGGCCAGGCTGAAGTCAGGAGCTTCTTCCTGGTTTTCCACTTGGGTGCAGGGGCCCAAGCACTGGGGCCATTCTGTGATGCTTTCCAAGGCGCGTGGAGCAACAAACTGGATCAGAAGAGGAGCAGCCGGGACTTGAATTGGCGCCCATGTGGGATGCCGGCACTGCAGACAGCGGTTTATCCTGCTGTGCCTCTGTGCTAGCCCCAACATGTTAACTTTTAACAGTCTTAAGTCCTTTATTGCAAATGCAGCTAACAGGGCAAGTTAATTTAAGTAAGAGCAAATAAGGAGTAAATATCAGAGTTCAGGTTTAAACTCATTATTTTGCTAAAGAGTACTCTATGGAATAAATCTGGGAGGAATTTCATAGTATTTCTACCTAGTGAGCTACTATATTAGAACTAGGTTATAATTAACCCCTTTTTCATTGTCAGATATCTTGAGTTCCTTTCAAAAATGACAGCTTTTAACCTTTGACAGTAATTGTCCACTGATAAGTACACAAGTACAATGGTGACACTGTGTAGTTGAGATGATTAATTAACCAATTTATTTAATAAATAACTGATGGTTCAGTTATTTGGTAACAGAAAAATCTAACACTGGGAAACTGAGTTTTCAAAATATTGACAAAAGCAGAAGAAACCAGAATAAAAAAAAGTCTCATTTACAATAGTAACAGCAAAAATATACAGGCATAAAGCCAACAAAAATGTGTAGCGCCTTTTGGAAGGAAATTGCTGAGAGGTGATACCATAATGTGATCACTCAGTTTCATAAAAATGTTAATTTGGGGATCATTGGCATTTTAATTAACATAAAATTTAATTTACCTGTGAATTATTAAAAAATGCTTGAATAATTAGAAGATTGAAGAAATATTATAGGACAATATAAAAAGAAGACTGGAAAAGAACAGTTTTCCAGAAATACATTTTTGTATTTCTTTTTAAAAGAAGACAATTCAATCAGCATAGGAAGAATGGAATTTTCAATAAATGATGCTAGGTAATAGAAAATGGAAAAAAGGAATTTTATTCTTAACCGAGTACCACAACCAATGGACTGGTGCTAAATTTGGCAAAATGAGGACAAAATGAAACCTAAAATAAATATACGTAAGGAGAAGGATTATGTAACTCTATTAGGAAGAGATTATGATTTCCTAATTTTGAAATTAAAAATAATAAAGGCAAAGTTATCACATGAGACTACATAAAAACTTGGAAGTTCTGTATTTATATAAAATACTATAAACAAATTTAAAGTACACATGACAAAAGGAAAATTATTTGCTAAATATGACAAATGTTAATATTAATACTAAAAAAAAACCCTCTTAGTCAGAAAAATTAAGAGAACTAAGGGACAAGAAACCCTCAGATTCTGCTGCCTACAATAATTTTGGAGTGTAATTATGGAGCATATACCTAGTCTTTTCTACTTTTGGAAATTCACCCTAAGGAAACATTGTGTAATGTGTTCAAATATTTATCTACATATACTACTAAATAGATTATAAATAACAATGTTCCGTATGAGTAGATTGGTTAAGCAGAGTGCAATATAATCATAAGAACTTTAAGTTAAAGTAGGTGAAAGATCACATATGTACAATATAATATAATTTGGGGGTAAAAACAATAAAAGATATTATATGTGTATAAAATATTCTTGAAGTTTACTCATTAAATGTTGAATTTAAGTGGTAGGAATATGGGTAATATTGTTTTCTAATTTTCCTGTCATGAATTTGTTATTATAGAATTTAAAAAGTTATTTTTATAAGAAAAATTATTTGGCCACTAGCAATGTTGTACTCCATAATTTATACTCTGATATTTCATTAGCTTTTATCAAAGAATATCACAAGAAACAGTGTCAGAAAACTGGATACTGCTTTTGCCCTGAGGATGTTTTTTGAGGACACTTCCTATTCCATCTCTGAAAATGCCCTAGGGGGAAAAATCCCATAAAAAAATTCCTTCTAAAGGTAAGTGCCAAAGAAGCCTCTGCTTATCTTAAAAAACTAGTATATATTTTTTCATAGATCATGAAAATCATTTAATTGTGTACTTAATTTTATTTTTTCCTTAGACAGAACATTTAAAACCAAACACTTCATCTAATTGTAATTAGGGTACAGGGCTATATGGTTTACCTATCTGCCTACCCACACTCTCCTGGTCTGTATATGCCATTCTAATTCATAATTCCCTTTCTTGCTATTTCAGTAATATATTTTCTAAATCATCTCAAATCCTCTTGAGGTATGGCATAAATAATTAAGACATTCCCATTAATATTTTGAGTCTGTGAATGACAGTACATTATCAAATACAGTCTCTATTAGAAAAGACTCTAAGTATTCCCAATATTTATTTCAGAACCTTCAATTTGGAAAATAAATTATCATTTTGATAAATTGGCCAAAGAAATGTGAGACATTACTGTTGTAAGACCTAAAGGAAGTAAATTTTGTAAATGGCATCATGGAAGGCAGGGACAACATCTGTCTAACTACTGTGAACATAACCTAGATGCTACCTATCAAAACAAGCTTTTGGTAAATGCTTAGTTACATAGATCCCCAGAGACAACACTGAAAAAAGGTGTCATTTGTGCTTCTCTTTTTATTCCCCTCCAATTACCCAACAAAGGATCTGGAGTTGAAAATAACCTTTTTCTGCAAACTCAATGTTCAGCTATAGGTAAGAGAAGAGGAAAGTCCAGTAAGCTTTGCCCTCTCCTGGAAGAAATTCTTTTCCTCTGTCCTTGCCTTACTTACTCTTCTCCGTATATGGGTGAGTAACTGAACTGCCTGGTGAGAATTATGACAGCTTGGTGTCCCAAATACCTTTCTCTCCTAGGTAAAATAACTGAGCTTGTAGGGTCTTTTGTTTTTAGAACTGCGTAAGCTCAAAGCAGTGATTTTACGCTATAATGTCCACGTTCTAAGCAGATCAGAGAAGGGTATCTTTACTTTCTTTTCATTTATTACCAAGCCAGTTAGGCATATTTGCAAGCCTTCATGCAGATGATGGGATCAGGTTACTCAAAGATTGCTTTAATAATCTGATTCTTTTTTTTTTTTTTTTTTTTTTTGACAGGCAGAGTGGACAGTGAGAGAGAGAAACAGAGAGAAAGGTCTTTCCTTTGCTGTTGGTTCACCTTCCAATGGCCGCCACGCTGTGGAGGGTGCATCGCGCTGATCCAAAGCCAGGAGGCAGGTGCTTCTCCTGGTCTCCCATGCAGGTACAGGGCCCGGACTTGGGCCATTCTCCACTGCCTTCCCAGGTCATAGCAGAGAGCTGGCCTGGAAGGGGGGCAACCGGGACAGAATCCGGCGCCCTGACTGGGACTAGAACCCAATGTGCCAGCACTGCAGGCGGAGGATTAGCCTAGTGAGCCGCGGCGCCGGCCCTAATAATCTGATTCTATCATGTAGAACGGTCCTTGGATTTTTTTCAGGGAATAAATTTTGTGTTTTTCAGTTTTGCTATTAAAGAAGTACAGACTTTGATCACCCATTTGATCTCTGGCTGAGGTGAGAATGAGGAGGAAGAGATTTTTCCTCCTAACATTTAGCACATAGCATGCCCTCTATCTTCTACCCTTTCCAACAGGGGTTTCCTTTGTTCCACATTCATTAATTTTTAGCTTTCAATGAACATTTTTGAAATATTTTTTATATTTCATCTTTATGTGACACTTAAATAAATAAATGTTCCAGTTTTGCTTTTTTCTTGTTCAAGATTAACAACATTAAGAAAGTTGAGATTAAGAGTTTAGGGAAAAGGCATAATATTTGTCCTCACATTTTCACAGATAAAATCTTTTAGGAAATAACAAGGACCAAAGAATAAGGAGTGGTGGCAGGCAGATATAAGAAATAATCAATAATGTTGCTCCAAATGGAACTTCTTTGACACTGAAGATTTCCAAATAAAGACTGAACATCTACTAGTGAAGATATCTTGGAAAGGATTTGAGTCAGAGTAGGGGATTAGAGATGAGGATCTACTCTTACCTATGATTGTGTGGTTTTTACATAGCTGAATGAGTTGGATAAAAATGGTTTTATAAACTAGAGATTAGCAAATTAAGCTCTACATATGATTCTTGATCACTTCTTCATGATAATTTATAAAGAACCTCTAGAATCAGAACAAACAGGCAGTCAGAATAATCAATCATGTTAGCTAAAGAAAACAGTTACCTGTCTGGAAAAAGACTCTAGATATAATTGTCCGACACAATGGGCAGGGAGTGCTTGCAGGATTGTCTTTGGCCAGAGTCCGTAACCTACTTAACGTGCCCATCACAATTTTTTGGCATAGTGAGAACATTTAAGATTTTCTCTTTTTTTTCTCAGATGTAGCTATCCTTCTCTTCTGCATACTCGTTTTCATCATCTGTACTCATCTCATTATTCAAAGTCTGCAAAACATAAGAAAACACTTTTTCTTAGTTCACCATGAGACTGGTTTCCATGAGAAAGAGAAATTTTTTTATATTTGTTATAATGAATGAAACTATCAGGAGCATAGAATATCTGTTTCTGTGACATATTCAAGGTGACAGAAATGCTACATTTCAAAATAAAAAATGAGATGTATGAAAAAATTCTGAAATCTGATTATTTTTAATATTTTCATACAATGCTTAATGGTAAAATAGACCTAAACACATTAAGTATACCTGTCTCTCTATGCAGGAAGAGTTATGTAGGTGTTAGGACTCTAGGATTACAGATTTTTCCATCCACTACACTTCTACCAAAGTTGAAGAGCCTTCATATGGGTAATCATATATGATGAAAATTAAAGGCAAAAAGACATCACATTTTATCCTTATCCTGTATGGGGAGCATTTTTCTATTTTGTAATTGTTCCTAAGTATGATAAGCCAAGATAGAGCCAAAGCCTAGGGTATGTCATGAGGTGGACATGGCAAAGAAAGTTGGTGATTATGAAATGAACCTTGCAGCTGGGAAATAGGATGAACAACTCTTCCCTCTCACATGGGATAAATGGAAAAAAAAGGTAGTTAGGAAAGAGACAACTAAGGGGCTAGTAGCACAAGGCCTGGTAGCAGAATTCCTACTATTTATCCTCATAATGTCCACATCTGAAGTTGTTGAGAGGATTTTTTATTTCTTTATTTTTGACAGGCAGAGTTAGACAGTGAGAGAGAGACAGACAGACAAGTCTTCCTTTTCTGTTGGTTCACTCCACAACGCGACGGCCCGGTGTGTTGTGGCCAGTGCACTGCGCCAATCAGAAGCCAGGAGCCAGGTGCTTCCTCCTGGTCTCCCATGCAGGTGCAGGGCCCAAGCACTTGGGCCATCTGCACTCCCGGGCCACAGCAGAGAGCTGGACTGGAAGAGGGGCAACCAGGACAGAATCCGGCACCCCGACTGGGACTAGAACCTGGGGGGCCGGCGCCGCAAGGCGGACGATTAGCCTATTGAGCTGTGGTGCCGGCCCTGTGGTTTTTTCTAAAGGCTTGAGAACATGTTTTGCAAACCTGGTCTGAACTCAGTTCAGTGAGGCAGGCATGACAGGAGCCTACAAGATTTATTTGAGACGGTCTGGGGTTTAATAAATATTTGTAAGTTACATGAAATATAGGTAGCAGATCCTTGAGCATACAGAAAAACCTTTAGCTATGGTTTCTTTTCGTTTTTCAAAGCTTGATTTTATTTCTTTGAAAGATAGAGTTACAGAGAGATGTAGAGCCAGAGAGAGAGGTCTTCCATCCACTGGTTCACTCCCCAAATGGCTGCAATGGCCAGAGCTGAGCTGATCTGAAGCCAGGAGCCAGGAACTGATTCCAGGTCTTCCATGCTTGTGCAGGGCCCCAAGGACTTAAGTCATCTTCTCTGCTTTCCCAGGCCATAGCTGAGAGCTAGAATGGAAGTGGAGCAGCTGGGACTCAAACCGGTGCCCATATGGGATGGTTGATGTTGCTGGCTAGAGCTTTAATCGGCTGCACCACAGCGCCGGCCCCTAGCTATGGTTTCAATGTTTGTGTCTTCTCCAGAATTCATGCTGAAACTTAAACTCCCAATGCAACAGTATACACAGGTGTGGCTCTTGGGGGCCAATGTTGTGGTAAAGGAGGTTAACTTACTGCCTGTGATGTCAGCATATGGTAGCAGAGCACTGGTTCAAGTCCCAAGTGCTCCACTTTGATCCACCTACCTGTTAATGCTCCTAGGAAAACAGCAGAAGATGGTTCAAGTGCTTGGGCCCGTGATACCCATAGGGGAGATTTCTGTGGAGTTCCCACTTCCTGGCTTCAGCCAGATCTGCCTATTGTGGCAATTTGGGGAATGAACCAGTAGATGGAAGATTTCTCTCTCTCTCATTCTCACTATCTCACTGTGCCTTTCAAATACATAAGACAATAAAATATATATGTTGTAAAAAACAAAGAGGAGAGGCTTTCACATGATTGAATCATGATGGCAGAACTCTGGAGAATAGGATTAGTGATTTTATATATGGCTGGAGGGAACAGTGCTCATCCTTCTTTTTCCTCTACACTCCTGCCATTTAGGGACACAGCGTGCGTTAGAAGCAAAGACACTGAACCTGCTAGGATCTTAATCTTGGGCTTTGCAACCTTCAGAACTATGGGAAATAAACTTAAGTTCTTATAAATTACCAAGTCAGTGGCATTTCTGTTATAGCAGCACAAACAGACCAAGATACCTTTTACCACTGGATAAACTATTTTGATTTTTCCAGGTGGCACTGCCATCATCTTTTTTTCTTTTATGAAGGGCATATTTGAGTCTTTAGATATTTTATTTTTATTTGGGTTGTCTGATTTTTTTTTCTTATAGATATATAGGGTATTTTTACTTACTCTAGTTATTTGTTGTTACTGGTTAGAAGTATTGTAAATTTCTTTTCCTTTTTTTTCTGATTAGCTTTTTCACTATTTTCTTGGTGTCCTCGGGTGAAACTTTACTCTTAATTTTAAAGCATTCCATCTAATCACATTTTAAATTTATGGATATTGCCTTTCATGCCTTACTTAAGAACTCATACCCTTTCCCAAGATCATTAAGATAGCATTACTTTATTTCATAATCCTACAATATAAATGAAACTGATTTTCATGTGTGGTATACCTTATGTGGGTAGATTTTATCTTTCTTCTTCATACATCTGTTAGTTGGCACTACTTAGACTTCTCTTGCAGTGCTCTGAAGTGTCACTTTGTCACTAATTAAGAGACCAGGCTTGTGCATGTGCATTTCTGCACTGGAGATTTCTGTTTCCCTGCTTTCCTAACTCTTCAACTGACTGTAACCTCAATTCCTTTCTTGATCATATGCTGAGACCACTCTTACATGGGTCACTAGCAACCTCTAATACAGCCAAATCCAAGAGACTTTCCTGACCCATCTTTGGTCTCTCGGCAGAATTTTTTATGTAGACCAGGATCTCTTTACTCCTGCCTAATTAATGGTTTCCTTTCATATCTGGAATAGGATCAGACTCCTTACAATGACATACAGGAATGATCCAGCTTACTACTTTATTCCACATATAGAGCTACTCTCCATTCAGTGGCCATCTTCAGTTCAACATCAAACACTGTTAAACACACCAAACATGCTTACATTAAGGCATTGATAAGTGATGTTTTTCGCCTCCTAAAAGGAGTAGTAGCCGGCGCCGCGGCTCACTAGGCTAATCCTCCACCTTGCGGTGCCGGCACACCAGGTTCTAGTCCCGGTCAGGGTGCCGGATTCTGTCCTGGTTGCCCCTTTTCCAGGCCAGCTCTCTGCTGTGGCCATGGAGTGCAGTGGAGGGTGGCCCAAGTGCTTGGGTCCTGCACCCCATGGGAGACCAGGATAAGTACTTGGCTCCTGCCATCGGATCAGCACGGTGCGCCGGCCGCAGCGCGCCAGCCGCGCTGGCCATTGGAGGGTGAACCAACGGCAAAGGAAGACCTTTCTTTCTGTCTCTCTCTCTTTCACTGTCCACTCTGCCTGTCAAAAAAAAAAAAAAAGGAGTAGTAGATTGCAAAATATTTAGAATTCCATGTTTGTACCTCTATGCATCTAATCAATATGGAGAGATTACTTTTCCAGTCTGAATTCTGGCTCTGATATGTGTCTTGCTTCAGCCAATGGATCATTATCAAATATGATGCAACCAGAGGTTTAAAAACTGCCTTTCTTGGTATAACCCTCAGTCCAGTACCATGTAAACAAGGCTAGACTGGTCTGCTGCAACTATTAGATGTGTGACTACAAATGCATATGTGAGCGCAGATACTATGATGTGAAGTAGCTGAGCCTAGCCCAAACTGCAAGACCAGAAAAATGGAAGGTTTCTTTTTATAAGCAGATAAATTTTAGAGTGATGTAATGAAGCAAAAGTTCATTAACACACCTTTTTCTGTACATGGCTAGTTTTATTTCACCCTTAAGTTTGTAGCTTAAATGCTAACTTCTGAAAAAGGATTTCGCTGGCTATTCTGATAAGTAGTTTCTCATGTTGTTCTCTGTCCATGCAACTTGTTTGTGTCCTCTTATAATTTTTGTCTACTTTTCATTTCTCCCCTAATATGATGTTAATATATATATATAAATGTATACAAAATATACACATATACATATATTTGCTGAGTGAATGAATGAATGGGTAGGTTCTAAAGTTGATGCTACCACTCTGTAGATCCTGATTTACAGGTGTTCTCATTTTCAAAATGTTCAGCTTACACAATATGTTCCTCATCAACAATGATGAAAAATAGGCTTGGAATTCAACAGGAGAAGTAATTTTTGCTCATTACTGATTATATTTGTACCCTCCTGAACTTAAAATTGACATTTGTGAAATGAAAGCTATAAACAGAAAATTAATACTGAATTGGGTAACCTCCCCCTCCAAAAAAAATCCTTAAACCTGCAAGCTTATTTACCTAAATTTTATTTCATCCTGCTAGTTTATTCTGTTTCTGTGAGATCCTCAGAATTGTACCTTGATTAACCTCAAAGAAGCCCATGGCATGAAAAAGAGCATAATCTGAGGAACCTCTTACAGCATTCCAAACTGTGACCCAAATATTCATGCAAACATTTATTTCTATGATGTGTTTTACACCTACATAGTAGGTAAAGATGACTAGACTTTACTAAAATAGACTCAAGAAAAAGATTTGTTATTTTTTTTTAAATTTTTTTAAAATTTTTTTGACAGGCAGAGTGGACAGTGAGAGAGAGAGACAGAGAGAAAGGTCTTCCTTTGCCGTTGGTTCACCCTCCAATGGTCGCCACTGCCGGCGCACTGCGGCCGGCGCACCGCGCTGATCCGATGGCAGGAGCCAGGTACTTCTCCTGGTCTCCCATGGGGTGCAGGGCCCAAGCAGTTGGGCTATCCTCCACTGCACTCCCGGGCCATAGCAGAGAGCTG